TTGTTTTGTGAGCCAGCTTGTCCTGGAGATTCTTTCTCTGTGCCTCCAGTATGCTATCATTATAGTTGGCTGTCAAGTCTGCCTGGTTTTACTTGGGATCCAGATATCTGATCTTTAGTTATCATGGTTTCAGGAGAAGCATTTTGCCACTGAAATTCTGGAAACACTTTTTCAACAGAGCCATCTTCCCAGTCCTTTAATATTATCTTAATGTATATCATTCTTTCTATATTTCTCTTAAATGTGTAAATAATTACATAAGTTATATGAAAATTCTACTTTAATTTGAAGCATTAATTGTAAAGCCTGCTAAAAAGTAAGTTTTAATTAATGATGAAATAACTTCATGCCTTCATAACTTCCATTGCTGTGATGAAAACACTAACCAAAACCAACTTTGAGAAGAAGGGTTTATTTTTTTTGCAGTAAAGATCCTCACCAAGGGATACCAAGGCAAGAACCCAGGAGAGGAACCTGGAGCACAGACCTAGGAGGGCTGCTGCTTACTGCCTTGCTCCTTTGTCTCTTGATCAGCTGTTTTGTTATACAATACAGACACCCTGCCCAGGGATCGCACTTCCCACAGTAGACTGGGCCTTCCCAGTCACTCAACAATCAGTAAAATGCTCAATTGATATGGCCACTGGTCAGTTCAATAGTGGAAATTCTCCAGTTGAGGTTTACTCTTCCAAGGTGTGTCAAATTGACAACTAAAGCTATCCGGTACAGCTGGGGAATGATTCCTGGCAGACTCAGATGATAGAATTTATCTAATAAAGATCACTAACTTTATGAGTTTGGACAACATTTCTCTTACAAAATGCATGGCCTCACTGCTATTTACCTTGATGATGTTATTTTGAATATCTGAGGCTTGATTAATCTGCATTTTTGTTTTAATTATGTATTTAAAGAAAAATAATTTGTTACTGATTATGGTCAGTCATAATATGACTAGGCTTCTAAGAAAACTGCTAGTCACAAAATATTTGATTTTTGCATTGCTGTTAAGGTAGAAATATGCACCGAATTACTTTGCAAATTGAAAATTCTGCTTCTCTTTGTATAGTAGAATACACTTAAGAAGAGTCATGATTTCACCCTCTGCCAGAAACTCACCTAATTTTACCTAATTTTGTCCTGTAAATGATCTAGATTAGTTTACTTTTGCATCTCTGTAGAGGATGGCCGATAGAGAAAAATTGAGGAAGGACATTTTTATTTTTGCCGTCAGCTTCAGAGAGTTTCATTCCGTCATGGCAGGCAGCTCAGTTCATGGCCACAAGAGCATGTAGAAGATGCAGTTTGCATCAAGATAGACCATGAAGCAGAGGCAGAAACCAGCGATGGACTAAATAACCTTCACCCTGAGAGATCTGCTCTTCAGTCTAGGATACACTTCTAGAAAGTTCTACAACATCCAAAAAAGTGCCAATAGTTTGAGTACAGGAGTAGAAAATATGAATCTGTGGAGAACGTTTTATTTTTTGAAAAACCATGAAAATAAATGGAGAAGAGTCCGTATTAAGCCCAGAAGAACCCACACCTAGTGATTTACATCCCTTAGTGAGGCCATTCCTTCCAAAGCTTCCACAGTCTCCCATTTTTTTTTTACCACAAACTGGGAAGGAATGTATCAAAATGTGAGCTTGTGGAGAAACATTTCAGATTTTGAATATAACAGAAGCTAAGTGATGTGACTTGCTTTGTAAAAAAAAAAAAACTGGCCCTCCGTGTGCAGATGTACTTTGGGGAAGGGAAAATGGAACAATTGACACTTTAGGTCCATAATCAAAGCTCTGAAAAGAGAATGACAGTGCCCAGGTTAATCTTTAATAAGAACTAGGAAGACAAATAAGTGAAGGAATTAGTTTTCTGGACAAGCCAGAAAGCCTCCCAAGGAGAAAATAATTAGAAAAAATGTAAGAATAGTTGTTTTAATGCTGTGGAGAAATGCCTTCGCTCAAAGGAGGATAATCCTTTTAATAGGTCATTTAGGAAAAATAGATACTGATACTGGTATACAGCATAGTAACAGAAATAATGGCCTCTAATAAAAATTGAAAGATTAATCTGTCTTCAAAAGTCTGACCACTGAATGCCATTATCTATAAGATTTTAAAAAGAGAATGTCAGGCCGGAGAGATCTTTTAGCAGTTAAGAGCACTGGCTTCTCTTGCAGAGGACCAGGTTTCAAATCACAGCACCCGTATAACAGCTAACAACTGTCCATAAACGCAGATCCAGGGAATCTAACACCTTCTTCTGACCTTTGTGATCCTTGCACTACATGAGTTCACTAATATGCATGCAGATAATACATTAATATACATAAAACAAAAATAACAATAATAATAATAATAAAGGAGAATGAAGTGAGAGCAAACTTTGCTGGGTGTGTCTAAAGGTATTGATACTGAGAAAGCCTTACAAAGGTTTTATGTTTTACCAAATTTGTGAACCACAATTACATTAAGCAATTAGGTAATTAACATTAAATAATTAAATAACAAG